TTTCATCCAAGAGTCTTAAAGCACATAACAAACTTTTTAGTTTTCCCTCATAATGCCAAAGAATAAACATAGGCCCAGAAAGATTTAAGGGCCCCTTCCCCAAAGCCTATTGAAGTGTATAAGTATTTTTTCATTAGATTTAGACCGGACCTTTAATGCCTTGTTCGGACAGACAGCAAATACCTGGAAATCATCATGGTTATAGTCTAGCTCTTAGACAATGCCTCTGGATCTAGACGTATGGAAAAGCTAAAGGCATGCTTTGTGTGAGGTTATGTAGTTCTAATAAAATCATAAGATGTCACCAAAACACATCATGCAAAGAAAGGGTCATAAGTCACTAAGTGCTTGTTCTTTGATGTAAACAATGGGTAAAGAGGAGAAACTGTGCCAGGATACCTGTGGCTGTCTGCCAGAATAAAACAAGACGGGTGAAAAGCCCTTAATTACAGTTATTAATAGATCTCCAGTATGCATAATCTTCATCTCCCACCATATATAACAAGGATTAATTAAGATACAGATAATGCATATACTTGAGGTAACTGGGAGGTTAGAGGTGGCAGGTGGAATCTGATGCTGTGAACATGCAACCTTGAAGCTAAAAGCCTGCACCTGAGATGGTTGTACATAGTTCTTACACCCAGTGTAGAGGCTAGGCCTCTCCAGAGGTTTATACTTCTCCTGTATGCAAGGTCACATGAATGTCTTGTCATTGATCGTAGACCCTAAGATAACTAATTTTAAATAGCTAAATTTGAGTTAGGTGACCAGTGCTTTTTATCTGGTCAGAACTACTTATCTGGTTTAAAGTGGCTGAGAGTCAACCGATTCACTGAACTGATAAGCACTGAGATGTCAAGTGCAAAGACTGTGTTTTCATTTGTCCCAGGATGAACTGGTACTGGTGGGGTGAAATAATTCTTGGTTTCCAGAATTATTCTGTTCAGCTCAGAAAGCGTCCCCTGACTGTTTTGCTTCCCCGGTTTGTGCAAGATCTTCAAGAGACTTACTGTGGGGTTGAAGTTGCCATAAGTGTGATCATTATCCATCTGTATTCCATGCAATTATTATTTACGTATTGAATTCCCTGGAGGTAAAATTAAAATAGAGCTTTTATACATATATATATATATATATTTTTTTTTTTCCCCCATCTCAAGCTCTTGTTTTTGTTTGACCCTTCTCTTTAACAACCTTGTTTCCCAGGAGACCACTTGATATGTCCTCATGTTTCCAAAAGACTGCAGTTCAATAGGTTGAGAGCTAATTGCCAGCTGGGAGTTTCCAGATGTTTATGCGGTAGCCCAAAGAGTTGTCCACTGGTAGCAAATGAACAGCTGGAAAGACACAATCCAAACAAAGCATCTTTTAGCTGATTGACATATGTCTGGAAAACTTGGCATGTTTGAGAGAAATGGAATTGAAATTAGGAACAGCTAGGAGCAAGTCCTTCATTATCAATAATTAGTCAATTAGATTTTTTGTTCAAATTCAGATATAATTCTCAAGCACCGTATTCACTCAGTCATTACCACACATACAAGTAGATGACAGAAATAATGCATAGCCTTCACTCTATCTTTCCTTAAGAGATGTGTTCAGAAATATTCATTATACTGTTGAACGCAGGCTGTTCCAGAGGGCTGGATGGTGCAAATGATTTGTAATGGAATATGAAGCCTTTCACCCAGAAGTCAGATTCACATCCAGCCCTAACAGCTGATGGCAAGTGAGCTGTTAAGTTGATCTACTTAAGAGTTTACTATCAAAATGTTCTTTTTTTCCAGTGAAATAAGTGGTTCTGTACACAATCAAAACTTTCAGTGGGGAAAATTGATTGTTCTGAAGTTGTTTTCCATCTGGGAAATCAAAATGAAAAAAATAACTTTTTTCACCAGTTTGACTTTTCTCTGTAAAACCCAGTATAGCTGCTTCATATGATATTATTTCAAGACTCGGTTGTTCAGGGTGTTGTATCCTGTAGTGTTAACCTGAGTGTTCAGTGCTCTGTTCTTTAAGCAACATTCTCCAGGAAGGAATAATCCTTTGGAGGGGTCATATGGATGCACACTGAAAGAGGTAACCTAGGAAAAGTAACACATGAAAGAGACTGTAATTCCATTAAGCATCACAATACAAAGGACAGATCAAGTATTTTGATGTTTCTAAGGGGGTGGGGAGTGGGGTAAGAAATCTTATTGCCTTTTGTCCTAATGCACAAGGAGCTGAAATATGGAAATTCTTGCAGGATGGAATAATAGATATGTATTGTTTTACCACAAACTGCATGTTAATTTTTTTTTTTAAATATTAGTCTAGCTGATGGCTGATGGAGGGTTTGTGCCTTATAGAGCAATCTTGTGATAAGTAAAGGGAAGACAAAAACCCCCATGAACTGGCCTTTTCAAGTTCAGGTTTGAGGCCTATTATGAACATTAAGCTCTACTTTATTCCAGCTGGCCATTGCTGGAATGCAACTTCTTACTGTCTCTAAGCAATCAATTAGTTTACTTAACGTAAATGAGGTATTATTTCTCCTAAATAAATTACTTTTTTCCCAACAAGAGTGGGATAGAGTGTAATTCATGTACATGACATTTTTAAGGAGCAAGGGAAAAAGAAATACCTCCACAAAACATTTTTTGTCCCTGAAAAACATGGGGTTTTTCTGTCTGACCATATGAGAGACTAGATTTCTTCTTTTCGATGTCAAAGTCCTTTCTGTCCTAACACCTTGTTTGGGAAATCAGTGATGTTTGGATGCATTCTACTAAGTACTGTTTCCGGGAGTTTGGTACTTCTACCACTTTCACAAACATGTCTGGAGAGGGCTTAACAGAGGCTTCTCCCTGATGAGAACTTGCCCCCACACACACTTTATGTGGATCTTGGAAGGAAACTTTGCTCCTTTGGAGAGGAGTAGTCTTCTGTCTACTCAGTCTGAATTAGAGTCATGATATGGTGGGACTGGCAGGACATTGTTACCCTGAACTGTCGTCATGGCCATCAAATGAGGAGAAAAATATAGCTATCATTATGGGAGCTTTACACTGCATAGTTTATCTCTATAACAGTGCACTATGATGTGCCTAATTAGACTGTATCAGCTGCTCCACGTCTGCTACTAAAGGGACACTTTCTTATTGTGTCTAGTCAACAGAGAGCTCTCAGCCTGTGATTTAGCACAGAAATTAAATTTAAGCATAGTTTCCCATTTGATTATCAAGCTATGGGTGACTTTTAAGGATCCTTTTCAATCCATTACTTCTACTAGCTGTAAACTCTCTGCCACAGTTTCTTCCTCTTCTCTGGTAGATGCAGACTAACTGAAAACTCATCTATTTAAAGTTAGAGGGGAACAAATCCAAATAATTCCAATTAGAGTATGCAAACTTTTGCTGTTGTTCAGTCTCCTTCCTTGATAGTCAACTTCTGCTTCTGAGTCACAATTATTGAGACATAATAAATGTGATTGGCTTGAATAAACTGAAAAGAACAAGACCTTCCAAAAGTAATATAGGGTAAGAAATAGGACAAAAAATAAGGTGGGTTTTTTTTTCCTTGTCAAATTGCAACATTCATCCAGCTTGTAGCTTCCTTGTGAGAGGAGTAGGGTGATTTCCACAAGACAGTTTTTGAGAATATATATATATGTCTGTAGAAAAAAAAAACCTCCCTAATCTCTTGTGCGTACTAATCTATTAAAAACATTGTAAAGAAAAAAAGAACAACTGCATATTTCTTCAGTAATATTGTCTAAGAAACCAGCTTGGATAAAACAGTGAACATTGTTTGGACAAAAAGACTACAGTGGTGATCAGAGCTGAAAAAAGTTCATAGTCTACTGTTTACTCACCTGTTGCATACTTTTTTATATGCATGGGGAGAAGGTGGGTCGGTCAAGATGAGGCCATGGGACACATTTGTTTCTTTGGCAGTCTCTCTGCACCTTGTGCTGCTTTTGGAAGATGCCCACAGTTTGATGGACATGCTACCCGAACCTTGAAAGATACGATACCTCCATTTCAAGGAGCTGGCGAGGTTGCAGACATTCTGTAGTAATTTCAGAGAAAATGTCCTCTGCATAACAAGCACTTCTTTTGCTGCAGGAACTGGCAGGTTTTCAGTATACTGCAGTAAGAAGGAATAATCCGATCACATCAGACACACACACAACTGGTGTAAGACATTGCAACATTGACCAGTTTTACCAGAAGGTGAGCATGGAGGTGGGGAGAGAAAGCAGAGCAGGGTTTTTGCTCTGCCCTATCATGACAGAGCTTTAACCTTTGTAGTTGATAAGACAACTTTTGGAAGAATCAAAGACATGATCCATTGGAGCATCTCTGAAGTTCTAATGATCTGTAAAGCAACATGGAAGTTTTGGATTGATTGTTTGGGCTTTGCTGTTATTGTCTTTGTATGCATGGTTGGAAGCCAATGAGCCCTTGCAGCAGCAAGTGCAGGGTGGTGGCTTTCTGGTGTGAGGCAAACAGGGAGACTACTTGTGGATGCAAGTCAGGCTAAACAATAGGCGTAGTGCTCTGCAGTAGGAAGTCCCAAGTCCTTGTATGCCCTTTACTTGAAGTACTTGGTACAAAACAAGGGCATGAGACCTTCAGCGTGATATGGCAGTAAGGGGTTTGTTCCCAGTGCTGCTGCTGGAGCGGGAGTGGGATCTCATACCCCACCTTGCCACCACGTGGGTTCTTTGAGATCTGTAATCCTGTACAGCCCTCTGTATCTGACACTTAAGCATGTATTCAAACCACAATAAGCACTCATAGCCACACTGCTGCTCACTTTTCATCAGGGCTCAGAGGAAGTGATGATAGCTTCATTTCTTGACTCTTTACTACTGACCTAGTAAGGAGAGATTTTTATGATTGATTTACTGAGAATGGGGTGATGATGGGAAAGTGGTTTGCTCTATGTCTCAATTTTAAACAGATCCCTTCTGAAGCACTGCTTATTGAGGTTTTGCCTTTTGTTCACAGGCTGTGCCTTCCTAACTTACTGTGAAAGGGAGTCTGCGCTAAAGGCCCAGAGTGCACTGCATGAACAGAAGACACTGCCAGGGGTGAGTCCAGATTTATAACTTTTTTTTCTTTAAATCTAAAACAGGTTACGTATGGAGTTCCCATCTTGCCTTTGGAAGTAAAATGTCTCCGGTTGCTTGGATGATTCACTATTTGCATTGTGCTAATAAAATCAAGATACCAC